CCACTCAGGCCCCGCCCTACCTCTGGCGCATGCGCGGTGGAGTGCGGCGAGAGCGCTCGCGATTCCGAACCTCAGTCGGCTCCTTGCCTGCCCCCGAGCTCTCAGCGCGTCTTCGGTTCTTCATCTGCGAAATGGGCGCAGGTGCGCTTTGCAGACACGTGGCGAGCATTAAGTGCTATCGGAAGCGCCCCTCTGCAGCCACGTCCCGCACCACTCTCATGCACAGCTTCAAGTCTCCAACCCGAGATGGGTCCAGACCCAGGCCGGTCTCGGGTCCCCAAACAGGCCTGGCTTGCGAAAGACCCCTGCCCACCTAAAATCGCCATCCCCTCCCCTAGCCCCGGGTTCTTTTCTTTCAAAGCTCTTACCACTCTCTGAAATTACGTACACCTGTTACAGTCTCTCCTTAGCCGCCCTGTGAGAGCCGGACCACCCGTGGATAACCAGAAGCTAGAATGGATCTGGGCACACAATCGGTGCCCAAATGTTTGTGAATGAGTGAGTGTCCTCCCGGTGCTCTTCCCTCATCAAGAAATACTCTTGCCCGGTGGCTGAGAATGGGACAAGCTTAGGTTCGGATCCCGTGAGTCCCTGCGACCTCACGCCCCTCTGTGTCCTGGGTTCCGCGTCTGTAAAACGGGGTGATGCTAGTGCTCCCGCCTAAGGTGGTTGAGAGAACCAAATGTGACTGCACATAGATGGGCTTGGCACCGGGGCAAGCAGCTGTTTTAGTGTCCGCTAGTGATATTATTCTGGGAGCCCCCTCCACCCATTGTCTGCGGCCGGAAGCCTTTTTCCTGCTTTGTACAAGACATGTCCGGATTAAAAGCCTCTTCCGCTTGCCAGCCTTCCCATCCTTCCCGTACCCACCCTCCCTGCCCTGCCCAAGCCAGAGTTAATGATTATTTCCACCCTCCTTAGGACTCCCCACCCCCACCCCAGGGGCTGGTTTTAAAATTGGCTAACATACCGCACCCCACCCCACCCCCACAGGAAGCCTCCCATTCACGAGGGAGGTCTTGCTGGTGAGTTTCAGCAGCCTGTGAATGTTTAGGGGCCCAGAGCCCAGAACACTGTAGGGCCAGTGGCTCAGGGGAATGAGGAGCAGAGGAGGGCTTCCTATGTGGTGCCTAGCAGTTGCCTGAGCCCTTTACCTGGGTTCCTTCCTTTAGCCTAGGAACGACCCTGTGAGGAAGTCACCATAATTATTATTCCAGATAAGGAGGCTAAGACACATGTAACCACCGCTAGATACAGCTCCCCACGCCCGGGACACAGGATCGGAGTGCCATGCAATTCAGTTCCTGAGCACCTGTGCTGGTGCTGGACACCTGTGTTACCTGAAAGCTGGGCTGGAGTCTTGGTGGATGTTGAGACAAAAGACACAACCGAGCCAAAGAGCAAGAAAAGGAAGGACTCATTATTATTTGCAGCAAGAAAGGAGAACACTGGGGATCTCTCCCAAAGCAGTATCTCCCCAATAGCAAAGTTGCAGAAGTTTGAAGTGAAGGGTACATGCATATTCATGCAGAGGCTTGAGCAGAGGAGAATTCAAGATAGAATTTTGGCAAAGGTCGACATACCCCAGCTTTAGCTGACCGAAGTCAGGAGGGTCAGCAGCATCATTCTGTCTTCCACCTGGATGGGGGCCTTAGTTCCTGCAAGAACTCAAAGACCATGTCAGATTGTTCTATACGTCCCAGGAGAAGGGACTAGGACTGTTTCATTGCTAAACTATTGTTTCTTGACTGCTTTTCCTGTGTTCCTGCATTTCCTTATTTCTCTTAAGATCACTGACGGGGAATGGGAGAGGGTAAGTAGCTCAGTAGCAGAGTGCATGCCTAGCATGCTGGAGGTCCTGAGTCCAATCCCCAGTGCCTTCTTTAAAAAAGTAAACAAACAAACAAACCTAATTACCTCCCCCCAAATTTTTCTTTTTAATTAGAAAAATAATTGATTACTGAGACCTGTTCAAGGGCAAGCATAGTGACCAGGCTTGGATCACAAAGTGGCTGAGTCCAAAATGGTTTCTCTTATGTCAAGAAGGTCGTTCCTGATTCTCTTTCTCCAGAGACTCCCAATCTTCTTACACCTGGACCTGCAGGAGACACAGCCCAAACCCTCAAGGCCCTAGACCCCAGCATGAACCTTGATAAATAGGACCCTGTGGGCTTGGGGCTGTCAGAGGTCAGACCCAAGGTGCAGGGGTCGGGGCATCCCAGGGTGGTGGAGCTGGAGTAATCAGTTCAGCTCCAGCTGAGGCACAGGCTGGAAGTCTCAGCCCCTCCACCCAACAACTCAGCCAAGGAGTCTTACAAGGACAAGGCCAGCAGAAGGGACACCTTAGGAACAATGAATGCCCCTCCCACCCGTATCCATGAGAGATGCAGCTTCTCTCAAGTGGTGGAAAAGTACTGGGAGGCACTGCCAGCTGGCCGCCTTGAGCACTCAGAGCAGATAAGGCGGTGGTGTGGCAGGTGGGCCAGGGGCCAGCACGTGCTGGTATGTGGATGTGTATGTGTATGTCACGCGTTGTGGATGCTGTATGGCGTAGGAGTCCATGTCCCAGCCTCCACCCGGCCGCTGTAGGCATGTCTCATTCAGTGTGGACTGAACCTAGGAGTGAATGTGTGTGTGTGAAACCACGAGGCTTGACTCCCTGAGCTCCTGGTTGGACCTGACTCATTTCCATGCCACAGGCGCTCTCGTGGGCACACGGCAAGGGGCTGCCCGGTAGGACATTAGCGTCTGGAATGGACATGCTTGTGTGTGTGTGTACACTGCTGTTTACCGAGCACCTACCCCGTGCCATGTGCTCTCCCCACGCATCTTCATACTCAGTCATCTGTGCAGTAGGTATTATTAACTCCCTTTAGCAGACTGAGAAACAGACCCAGAGGACCACAGTATTGAGGCCAAGCTGGAAGGCGGGCATCTGCTGGGAACTGCTGCTGGGGACTGTCTGGCTACAGAAAGGGCACTGCATTGTCAGAATGGAGAACAGGGTCAGAGTCACAGGTGGGGCCCCAGAAAGGGTGCTCCAAAGAGGAAACAGAAAAGACATCAGGGACCAGCTGGCAATCCTTCCATCCTAGAAAGGAAGTATGTTGCTCTGTTGCCATGGAAAGGCCCACATCATAAAACCCAGATGCCCTGCACGGGTGTAAAGGCCAGATATATAAGTATCATACACTTCTGGACCACACCCTAAGTAGATAACACACACCACACACCCCGTATACCATGTGTATTAACACCATCGCCTCATCACACACAAAGGTTGTAGAAATTCTAACAGAAAAGAGGCTAATTAAGCCTTTTGGATCCTTCCCCCACCTCCCCTCTCCTCAGTTTCCTTTAGAAACTCCTGGTGCTGTTCCTGCATCTGGACAGGCTGGCAGGTAGGAGTGTGATGCCAGGGCCGAGCAGCAGGTGGGGTATGTGTGGCTGGCAGGATGGGCTTGCCGGCAGGAGAAGAAGGGAGGAGGGGAGCTTGGCACATACAGCTTGGAAAAGTCTCTCTGGCTCTCCTCCTTGGCCATTCTGTCTGCCCTCCCCCCACCGCCTACCCTCCATGCTCCAGCTCAGGCCCCCTTGGTGCTGGCCTGGGAGTTTGCAGCAGGCTGCTCCGAGGTCTCCACTCCCCAGTCCAGGCCCCGCCCCACTCCAGCAGCCAGGGGGACAGGCATGAACACCCACTGTGCTAGTTGCTGAGGACACAGTAGGAAAACCAGCCCCTGCCCTGGTGGAGCTGATGGTGTAAAAGAGAAACGGGCAATAGACAGACGTGTGAGAGCGTGGGGAGGCTGTAAAGAAAAGGGAAGTCGGGTCAGGAACAGACACCACTATGAAAGTCAAAGGGCAACACACAGCCTGGGAGAAACCTGCAAAGCACGTATCTGACTAAGGCCCCAGTCTAGAACATACTAAGAACTCATATAACTCAATAATAAGACAACTCAATTTTTTTGGAGGGGGGAGGAGTAGTTAGGTTTATTTATCTTTTTATTTTTAATGGAGGTACTGGGGATTGAACTTAGGACCTCATGTGTGCTAAGAACACGCTCCCACTGAGCTATACCCTCCCCTGACAATTCAGCTTTTAAAAACTGAGCAAAAGATTGGAACACATGCGTCATCAGAGAAAATATGTGAATGGCCCACAAGGACCTGAAAAGATGCTCAGCATTGTTATTCCTTGGGAAAAGGCAAATCAAAACCACGGTGGAACACCACT